GAACAGCTCAAATGTACTAACTGAAGTGCGAGAGAAGTAAGAAAAAGTGGACTATTACTTATTATTTAATAAAAGAGTTTCGACCTGTGTGTGACCACAAGAGTGTCAACATGGACAACATATGAAACAAATGACCATGGGGCGGCCGAAATCCCGAAAGTGAAATCAGCAGTGTCATTCAACTCTAGTGCTCAGAATGCATCAAAGAAAGATTATCACCTAGAATAGGTGATTAGATCGACCAGGTTTGCCCATTATCACCTAGAATAAGACTAACCAAACAGTCAGGGGCCAGAGTGCCAGATGAACCAAATGGATAAACAACGGTAGTTTGCAGTCCAAATGAACAGTTCAAATGTACTAACTGAAGTGCGAGAGAAGTAAAAAAAAAGTATTACTTATTATTTTATAGAAGAGTTTCGACCTGTTAATGCTGTGTGTGAGTGTGACCACAAGAGTGTCAATGTGTCAACATGAACAACATATGAAACAAATGACCATGCGGCAGCCGAAATCCCGAAAGTGAAATCAGCAGTGTCATTCAACTCTAGTGCTCAGAATGCATCAAAGAAAAATTAAAATAACGTACGTATATCAGATCAAATGGACCCTGAAAAAAGATTCAGATGAGAGTTTAGCCGGCGCTGCAGTCTCTGCTATATGAGCCGGTACTTTGACTAAGGACTGCAGCATCTTATCTGGTGTGACCCTGATACCTGACCAATGTGAGAAAATACAGACAAGGACAGAGGCTGAGAAGCTAACCAACCAATGCAACATATAGATGCCTGGTCCGCTATATACGGCGGATCCGATTCTAAAGGGTCTGGAACGCATCGAGTTGTTTTTTCCCCTCATCGAACAAACTCACCACAAAACCCCAATATGCAGAAAGTTTATCGAACAAACCACAAAACCTCCAATGTGCAGTAAGTAGTTTTTCCCATCGAACATATGAAAACAGAGTCGCGCACAGACTGATGCGTCAAAAATAATAAACATGGGAGCTTCCTCCGCATCGGGATGGAAACTTTGTATGATTGAGCAGTAGGAAGAAACAAAGGAATCTTTCATAAGAGCTTTTGTCAGTGGAAATTTCAGCACGAATGCTGTGCAAAGGAATCGCAAAAGATTTTGCAGGAACGCAATCCTTGCATGGGAAATGCCCCTAAGAATCAAGAGATGAGTCCTCTAGTATAACTTGTAGCAAATCCGTTTAATGGATGGGGCTCTAAAATCGCCAGAAGAAGGGAGGACGGAGAGAGAGAGAGAGAGAGCCTACCGCCATTGCTGATGTCAGAAGATGCCCCGCCCCTTCCCTCTATCTCCTTGCAGTGCGGAGGACAGCTCGAGGAAGAGCAGCAGCAGAGGAGGCGGAGGAGGAGAGCGCGGCGGCGACGGCGTCCGCCCCTCGCTGGCTTAGACGACAAGGAGAAGACGGGGATGCGCTGCGCTGCCGCGCCTGCCGCGGCGTGTAGTTCAGACTGGGCGTTTAGTTCGGGGCCATGGATGAGAGCGAGACTTTTATGTGTTCTGTCGACGTGCGGCTGCGCGCAGGACCCGCTACACAGTTCTTGTGCGCAGCGCACATCTCAATGAGGAAAAGAGAGAGGCGTGAGAAAAGCGGTGAAGGTGTCGGTGGTGATAATAATGATGGTGGACCGGTCATAGCTGTTGACAGCTTTGACCGATCTTTTTATTTAAATTAATTACTAAATAAATTAAAATCAATGTTAAAAATCTAAAGCATGGTTAATAATTATTTTTTTGTTATGCAGTTTTAATATTATCTCCATTCATAAGTGTATGGTCAACGCAGAGTTGGTGAATATTGTCCGACACGCACGCTTTACGAATTATAATTTCATAAAAGTACTAAAAAAATTAAAAATGATTTTATTTGTAACATACATAGTCGATGCTCGCGTATAATGTTTTCCGAGGGAACGACATCCGTGATATTCTAGGCAAAAATGACAAAAATCAAACCTACATTAAAAAAATACCATTTTATGAATAATAAGCCGTCAATTATATTTTCTTCACTAAAGGTACCATGGTGTCAATGCTTCATTAAAATTCATACTTGAGTAGAATGATCGCTCAAGTTCGATACCCAAAATTTTAGATTTTTTAGAAAATCTCCTAATATAGTTTTTAATTTACTACTCATGTGGGTGCTCGCACAACCATGTCCACCTTTATCTTTTTGAATATATGACCTAGTAACAAGTAATGTAGTAACAAAAATTCTAACTTAAAATTAGTTGTTTATGTGTTGTAGCGAGCACATAAATATTTTGTACACAGTCAATGTGATTTATCTGCCATTTTGCCGCGATTATATATTAGGGAAGGCTTTAACTGCCAATTAAAACAATATTTATTAACTTCAATGAAACCATTATCTTACTTGATAGGAAAATTAGATATGTGGTAGTTGAACCATGTTTTTTAGAAAATCGATCAAAAAAGAATCGACAAAACCGAAAATTGAGGAGGCGAGAAGAGGAGTGAGGATGGGTGGAAGAAAAAAACGCAAGACAAAATCTTAGGTATTTTTTTAAGTAATTAGGTATATGCCCATGGTACTAAAAAAGGTATGGTGCCATGTGTTGCCATTGGAGTCACATATTTTTTTAACACAACTAGAACAATGCTCGTGCGTTACAACGGGGTATAAATCTTCTAGTACGTCGGCTTGTGATTTATCTGTCTATAATAATGTGATTGTGTAAATAAATGATCATCAAATTCTACCTATGAAGTACTATCTTATATTTTGATCAAAGTTAGGTAAGTAAATTAAAGTAGAAGTGGTTCATAAGGTAAGTAAATTAAGTTGAAAGTTGGATGAAGAGGTGATAGGAAGAAAGGTGAAATGGGAATCTTACGTTCCTTTTAGATTAGACGACTATATGAAACAAATCTTAATGCAAAATAAATAAACAAAATAAAAACATGTTTTGGTTATACAGTGCGTACATTTTTAGATATGTGCGTGTGATTGATCTTCTTTATTGGGCTACCCAAGATAAGATACCGATTCACATTTATTTGACTATGGACCGAGAATTTATTGGTATTTATTTAGTTACCACACATGTCTAACCAGTACGTTTTACCATAAGAAATAATATATTTATGAACCATGAATTTAATGCTATATACCGTACATTGATCTAGTTTATCGGGTTACCAAAGATTGGTTTGGTGAAACCTAGGAGGAAATAGAAAACTAGAAAAAATCAGTGGCCGGTGGGAGATTGAACGGAGGGGTGGTGAGGAGAAAAGTGAAAGATGGAACTTTAGGGCATCTCTAATGCGGACCCTCGAACCGCCTTACATACGTCCCGATCGCACGGTCCGGACGTATTTTGCCTTCCAACTCTGTCCTGCATCCGTCCGCTGGCCGGTCCGGACGCCCTTTTCCCCGCAAACCGAAGGGGGGTTGCGGGCGTTCGGACCACTGCCACACATGCGTCTGACAACCATGGCCCAAGCAAAACTCACTCCTTCGCCCCTGCCCTTTCCCACCCGAAGCGGTTGCTAGAGTGGTAGCTCCGCATTGACGCCGACTCAGAACGGACGTGATCTCTCACTAATGCCAGCATTGAAGCGGCTAATGGCCGAGAGGGTCTTCCACGCCGCGTTCCCGGTGTCCACTCCTATTCAATGACGAAGAGGTGTTACTGGACGGGACATGACAAATATCTACTTCATTCAAACGGGATGCTCGTTCGCCCGTCTATCGCTATTGAACAGGAACGACCGAGAAACCAACTGCAGTGCTCGCGCATGATAACCCACAAGTATAGGGGATTGCAACAATTTTCGAGGGTAGAGTATTCAACCCAAATTTATTGATTCGACACAAGGGAGCCAAATAATATTTGCAAATATTAGCAGTTGAGTTGTCAATTCAAGCACGCCTAGAGAACCAAATATCTCCAACATAGTGATCAGTAGCACAATAATATGATAGTTTGATAACAGTGGTAATAATAGCAATAATAACGGTAGCAGTAGTTTTGTAGCAATTGTAACAACAACATCAACAGTAGTAACTTAGCAAAGATCACTATGTGAAAAGCTCGTAGGCATTGGACCGGTGATGGATAATTATGTTAGATAACATTCATCATGTAACAGTTATAACCTAGGGCGACACAGAACTAACTTCAATTCATTAATGTAATGTAGGCCTATATTCCGTAGATAGTCATACGTGCTTGCAATAAGAACTTGCATGACATCTTTTGTCCTATCCTCCCATGACAGGCGGGTCAATAAGGAAACTAAGGGATATTAAGGCCTCCTTTTAATAGAGAACCGGAACAAAGCATTAACCACATAATGAATACATGAACTCCTTAAATTATGGTGATCACCGGAAAGAATCCCAATTATTGTCACCTTGGGGTATGCGGATCATAACACGTAATAGGTGCATATAACTTGCAAGATAGGATCAAAAACACAAATATATTCGTGAAAATATAAAGGGTTTAGATATGAAATCATGGCATTGGGCCCTAATGACAAGCATTAAGCATAGCAAAGTCATAGCAATATCAATCCCAGAACATAGTGGATACTATGGATCAAGCCCTAACAAAACTAACTCAATTACATGTTAAATCTCATCCAACCCATCACCGTCCAGCAAGCCTACGAAGGAATTACTCACTCCCGGCGGTGAGCATCATAAAATTTTGATGAAGAAAGGTTGACCATGACGACGACGTCGAATCCCCCTCTCCGGAGCCTAGAACGGACTCCAGATCAGCCCTCCCGATGAAGAACAGGAGGTAGCGGTGGCTCTGTATCATAAAACGCAACGATTCCTTCTTCTTGATTTTTTTCTTGGCGAATATGTACGTATGGAGTTGGAGTTAGGGTTGCGGGAGCTGCCAAGGGCTTACAAGCCTACCAGGCGCTCCTTGGCAGGGGTGGTGCGCCCCTGGGCTTGTGGCGCCTTGGTGGCCCCCTCTAGTAATTTCCTTCGTCAATATTTTTTATATATTCTGAAATAATTCTCTGTTAATTTTCAGCTCAATCCGACAACTTTTATTTCTGCACAAAAATAACACCATGGCAATTCTGCTGAAAACAACGTCAATCCGGGTTAGTTCCGTTCAAATCATGCAAATTAGAGTACAAATCAAGAGTAGAAGTGTTTGGAAAAGTAGATACATTTGGGACGTATCAATTCCCCCAAGCTTAACTCATTGGTTGTCCTCAAGCAATTCAGTTGACAAACTGAAAGTGATAAAGAAAAATTTTTACAAACTATTTTTGTTCTTGTTATTGTAAATATGCTTAACTAATGTTCAAGTTTTCAGCAAGAATTATGAACTAACTATATTCATGATAACATTTAGGTCTCACATTTACTCATACCAATGACATAACCAACTAGCGAGCAATAATAAGATATCTCGGATGCGAACACTTTGTCAAAACAATCATGATAAAATATGATAACATGGTATCTCGCTAGCCCTTTCTGAGATCGCAAAACATAAATGCAAATCACCTATGAAGTTCAAGTTGCGACTAGACATTGTAATTCATGGTACAAAAGATCCAATCATGTCACACTCAACATTAACTGTTGGGGAACGTTGCATGGAAAACAAAACAAAATTCTACACACATGCAGGATCTATCCACGGAGATGCATAGCTATGAGAGGGGAGACTGTGTCTACGTACCCTCATAGACCATAAAGCAGAAATGTTTATCAATGCGGTTGATGTAGTCGAACACCTTCGCGATCCAACTGATCAAGTACCGAACGTATGGCACCTCCGCGTTTCGCACACGTTCAGCTCGATGACATCCTCGTCTTCTTGATCCAGCAAGACGGCGAAGTAGTAGATGAGTTATGTCAGCACGACGGCGTGGTGATGGTGGTGGTGAACTTATTCCTGCAGGGCTTCGCCGTGCACTGCGGAAAAACTGGACGGAGGACTAAACTCTGGAGAGGGGTGCCGCACACGGCTAAGAGATTGTCGTAGGTTGTGTGGCGCCGCTCCCTCTCATATATATAGGTGGGGGGGAGGGGAGGCAGCCTTGGGTGCGCCCCAAGGTGGCCGGCCAGCCCCCTTGGGCGCCTGCACTTTGGCGCCCCCTTCCTTGTTTGCCTGCGGGGGGGAGGCAGGAGGGGGTGCCCCCCTTTCCTTCCTCTTAGGTGGAGGGAAGGAAAGATGGGCTAGCCTCCCCCTTTCCATCCATAGGGCCGAGGGCCAAGAGGAGGGGCGTGCCATCCCCTTGTGGGCTGGT